CGACTTCACCACATAGAAACAAAAGAATTTACCATGGACCAATTGCTTTTAGATGCTTCTAGAGAATATCAGGTACAGGAAATGACAAAAGAATAAGAACTTACTTGTAAGGTTTGATTTCCACAACAAAATGGGGAGTTTCAGGCATAGGTGGGTACTGCCAATGCAAGATAGTTTTGAAATTTTCGGATGTTACTACAATCTGTGTTGGTGAAGGCACTAGAAGAGACAGAACAATTGCACTTTGATAAACAGACCTAGTCAAACATAAGAACAGCCAAGTATACTTCTAAATTATTTGGAAAAGGCAACATGCTAGAAGTGACAGGAAAAAATAGGCATAGAAGTCACACATACTTCCCCCCAAATGGACTAGTTTGTCACCAGTACAAACACATACAAGCCCTGCAAGTTGATTTATAGTTCTTCTCTCCTATGGAGACAGCTTTCTTCCTGTTGGCAACCCAGAACCTCAGATAACTCATACCCATTGAAAGCAAGCCCATCAGCCCAATCAGGTTCATAAACTGTGATGATTATACCCCTATGTTGGTATTACACAGCTATACCAGCAAGACGGATAGTATGAATTTACTGAAGTTAGAGAAGATTAGCCCAGCTCCTGTAGATTTCTCTCGCTCTTCAGAAACTGAATCGGGAGGCAGGGTGAGGGGAGCAGGGGGAAGAGAGGATACCAAAGCTGCAGGATCAGGGTCTGTGCTGCAGGGGAGTCCTACTGAATCCTGCTGAGTCCTACTGAATCCTGCTGACTGAGTCCTCCCAAATCCTGACTCAGCCTTGCCAGAAGACAACAGGCCTGCTGGGGAAAGCCTGGACTCAATGTGAATTTCTGACAAAGCCATTTTTACCACTCCAGCAGCATTTTTAGAAAGCTGTGAGGATAACAATAGACTACTAACATTTGTAAGGAATTTGAACACTGAAGCTGTCATGTAGTTCCATATACAGGAAAGCATTTGAAGTACATTTAGTAAACAACATCAGAGGTAAGGTAGTAAGCAATACAAAAATAAAAAGCAGTGTTGACAGTTTCTTCCTACAGCAAGCTTCTGTTCTAAGCACCTACAGCGACAGGGATATTGGGGGAGCAGCTGCAGGGGAAGGAAAATCACACGATCCTGTAACTACTGAAGGTTGTTGCATGGCATTCAGAAGGAGAAAAAATGAAGGTCACCCAACTGATTGTAACTGTTACTTCTTAGCTTCTCAATGTCTGATTTGGCATCCTTAATATTCTAATATAGCTTTTGTGAAATGTTGACAGGTAACTCATATTTGACCTGCTCTAGCCTGCTGCTTGTTCACAAAGCACGTGCTCCAGCTTTGCTCTGCAATATGTTGAGGGAAAGTAAACAATTTTCACATCTTGAGAACAAGACCACAAAGATATCACTTTACAGAAAGTAATACAGAGAGGCTGAGGTATGCTATTAACCACAAAGATTTGATACACATAACCTACATCACTCTGCAACTGGTGCTGTGGTTTAGTTATGTTTTAATATGTACAAAAGGGGTACTGCAGTTATTGGAAAAAAGGAACACAATCATCAAATTCTCAACCACAAGAAAAAAAAGGTGACAAATTGACAGAAGAGGTGTCAAACTACACAAATGTTGCTTCATATTTAGTTTTAAGGCACAGTGTAGTAAGTCTTAAAAATTTTTACTTTTGTATACTACCATACAAGTAAAACTACGCTTAACAAAAGAGTGGAAAACGAAATCCCAGAACATATTTGAACTGTCAGTAGAAGCTACATGGCTTTTAGTTATGCAATTACATACCACTTCGCTTATTCCTCCTTCATTCTTCCTCCCATCCCCACATTTTTGTTTTATTTTGTTCATAGACAGAGTTGCTACCCTAGATTTCAAGAAAGCAAACTTTAAGCTACTCGGGGAGCTACTTAGCAGCGTACCCTGGGAATCTGCTTTTGAGGGCTTAGGGGTCCATGAGTGCTGGTCAGCTTGTAAGAACCACCTTTTAAAAGCACAGGAGCAGGCAATCCCATGGTGTTTTAAGTCAAGCAAGTGGGGCAGAAGACCAACTTGGCTGAACAGAGAACTAACTCCTCATGGAGCTCAGGAGGAAAACAGAAACTGTATGATCTCTGGAAGCAAGGTCAGGCTTCACAGGAAGCTTACAGAGTCACGGTTTGCAGGGAGAAGACTTGAAAGGCCAAAGCTGAACGAGAGCTGAAACTGGCCAACATTGTTTCAGGTAACAAGAAGGGCTTTTTTAAGCACGTTAATAGCAAGTGGAGGTCTAAGGAAAACACTGGACCAATACTTGTTGAAGATGGTCATCTGACTAATAGCGATTAAGAAAAAGCAGAGGCATTCAATGGGTTGCTGTTTTGGGTTGGGTTTTTTTGTTTGGTTTTTTGTTTGTTTGTTTGTTTTTTTTCCCCTCAGTCTTTAATAATCGTGCTCACAATCCCACAGGGCCTGATGGGCCTCACCCAGAGCACTGAAGCAGCTAGCGGATGTTACAGTAGGGCCCCTCTCGATCATCTACCAAAGGTCTGGGGAGGTCCCTGCTGACTGGAAGCTAGCCAACACTATTTCAACTCAGAAGAAGGGTGTGAGGGAAAACCCAGGGAACTACAGACCTGTTAGTCTAACCTCAGTACCTGGAAAAAGTATACAGAAGATCATACTGGGTGCTATTGAAAGGCATTTAAAGAATAACGCAGTCATCAGGCACTGTCAACATGGGTTCACAAAGGGAAAGTCCTGTTTAATTGAATATCCTTCTACGATAAGATCACCCCACCTAGTGGATGAAGGAAAGGCGGTAGATGTAGTTTTTCTGGATTTTAGTAAGGCTTTTGATACTGTCCCTCATAGCATTCTTCTGGAAAAACTGTCCAACTGTGAGATAAGCAGGTACCTGGTGCTCTGGGTGAAGAACTGGCTGAATGGCAGCACTCGAAGGTTTGCAGTGAATGGAGCTACATCTGGGTGGTGACCGGTCACCAGCGGTGTTCCTCAGGGCTCAGTTCTAGGGCCTGTTCTGTTCAATGTATTTATCAACGATCTGGATGCAGGAGTTGAATGCGCCATTAGCAAATTTGCTGATGATACCAAACTGGGAGGTACTGTTGACTCTCTTGAGGGACAAGAGGCCTTACAGAGGGATCTAGATAGATTGGAGCACTGGGCAATGATTAATGGGACGAAACTTAACAAGTCCAAATGCCAGATTCTGCACCTGGGACAGAGTAACACTCGGCACAAGTATAAATTGGGAGAGGAGTGGCACAGGAATGTAATACTCTGAAGTACTTGTGAATGCTGAGCAACCAACTAGAACTAAAAAGAATCTACCAAGTCACTCCTCCACAGCTCCGTGAAAGACTACTCAACCTAATTCTCCACTCTTCCATCCAGAGATGATTTTTAACATGCTCCAGCTCTGAGACTACAAAGGGAGTAGCAGAAAACAAGCTTTCCTCATGAAAACACAACTTTCTTCACAAACTATATCACCATATAAACCACCTTACCAGCTGCCAGGAACGTCACCACCAACATGTCAAGATCTCTGATGGCACTACAAGTTGACCTTGATCCCTTACAGGAATGAGTTTACACATACCATCAGCTCATACTTTTCACCCTCACTTTTAACAACTTTCCTTTCAGTGATAAGGTTAGTGAAGCACTATCTCCCTCTCTGACCCTTCACTCCATATCCTCAAGACAGACCTAAAGGACACCTTTCGGCATGAGCTGAGAAGCTGAAAGTCATAACTCTACTTACAAAAGCCAGTACAGAAACAGACTTATAGCATACCTCCTTTCACCTCATTAACCTCTCCATGTTTCACAGGCCAAGAATTATCTCCCTCTCTTTTTCTAAGGGATGACACCTTATTACTCCTTCTACCACTTCCCTTATTCTCTACAGGCACCAGCCATCTTGTCTCTCAAGTGGTCTAATGGATATGTAGTAAAGTCAAATGTAAATTGTTCTCAGCTTGTATTTATTTTTGAGGTTTGCTGGTTCTAGTTTAAAGCCAAAGAAAGCCTGAAAGCTCATCTCCTTTCCCTAATTACACTGGTTATTTTCATGGAAGACGATCTGTACCTGCAAACCTTGCCTAACCAATCTGAGTAACCGAGGATCTTACTCTTCAGGTCATTTAGCAATAATACACAGAAACTTAGCATAAGTGACAGCAGCTTAAGATGCAGAAGCAAGTGCTCAGCACTGCCAAACCAAAGGACCTCAAAACAGGCACGGAAAATGGATCAGCTTGTGATCACCCATGGAAAGTCTACTTTTAACACCTTGGTCAGACATTCCTAGTCCCTTTCTTCAGGTTTGTTATCTCCCCTGCGTGCCCCTGCCCAACCAATCAAATGGTCTTCATTGTCCAGCTCACAGCCCCTTTACTCAGGCTCTCTCTGACTTCTAATCGTTTCTCCTCCAGCCAGTGCAGAGACAGTCTTGGGACACACCAGCATCAAGACTACAGACCATAAAGAACATTGCCCATTTTCAAAGTGCTAGTGTCTAATCTTCATAGATACTATTTCTGCATATCGACAGTTAAAATGCCATAATACTTTATGTGAACACTGTTTTACTTAGCCCATAATGAAGCATTAGGTTTTTTTTTTAAAGATTTGACACCCTGTTCTATGTTGTTCAACAGGCACAACTGGAGGAAGATGATAGTGGCTAGTGCCACAATGGTAATCTTTAAACATAAAACTCCTAATTTATAACAAGCATAAATGCAGCAACACTCAAGCTGCAAACTGAAACAGTGAGAAACTAAGGGTGGAAAAAGTGAGCAGAAAATTGATCAGCAATTCATGTTGTGATGCATGATACAGGACACTCAACAAGTTTTAGTTTGCCTCTGGTTCAAAGGCAGTGATTTCCATCTGCAGTTAGCTCCGTTCACCTTGCTTTGTAAGACAGCAATACTGGCCGACAGAAAGGCAACAGAGACATTAGCAAGAACAATTTTTTCACAGAAATACAGAAACTGAATTGTGTATGTGCATTGTGGAACAACATAAAATGAACTTCAGACGGCAGCTCTATGTCCAGAGAATAAAAGGCAAAGGTAGGCCAGTCTGATTTACATTTTTTTTTTTTAAGAGTACTAAAAGAAACTAAGCATGCCTGGATTTTGATGATAAAGAACTGGAATGCTGGAAAGCAAAGGTAGGAGGAG